CATACACACAGAGACATAAATAGCCATCATAGAGTTTTCATAGGAGGAGGGAAACTAAGAGTCAAAAGGAAAGTACCTCAGTAACATAGTACTAAAGTTCTGCAATGCTAGCTGAAAGGTCAGTGGTTCAAATGCACCAGCTGCTTCCACTGGAGACAGATGAGCACTAGGATGTATTGTCTCAGTAACCAAAGAAAGATAACTGAGAGTTAAAGTTGACTCAAGGGAAGTGGAAAAGGGTTAAATTAATGTGAAGAAAGTGATAATGTATAGAAATAAGAACTGTTACTGTAAATTGAAGGATAACTGAGCAAGATGTTCATAAATGTTCAAAAGGGTAAAAGGAAATGGAGATAGGAACAAAAAAGGAGGGAAATCACCAGTAGAGCAATGGTTAGTAGGCAGATAGATGAGAGGGTAAGGATATAGGGAAGATTCAATGAAGGCTTAAAAGATGGAGAGATAATAAGTATAGATCAATACTAGTTAACTACATAAAATACAATGTATATGAATTTTGTATAAAACACAATGTAAATGGAAGACTGTATAAAACAAAATATGTATTAATGAAACACAATATATATAATTTACTGCATGCAAGCTGACAAAAATATTAGAATAAAAAAAGAAAAATGGAAAATATTAACAAAATTAAATGCTTGAAAAATAACCATTGTGATAGAAAAATTTCAACATACCTGGCTGTACTTTGAATAGATTATACATGAAAAGTTATTATCTTGATGAGGAGCTGTTTTGTGATAGAAATTTAAGAATACTTATGGCTTAAGAGAGAAGTTCCCTAGAAATGAAGATAGAGTAAGGTCACTGAGGAGATGTTGTTGTTGTTGTTAGGTGTAATTACATAGAGTACAACCCATAGTGATCCTAGGAACAGCAGATCTGAATCTTGTTCTGTCCTGTACTATCCTCACACTTCCTGACACATTAGTCCCCTTTGTGGTAGTCACTGTGTCAGTACACCTGATTGCAGGTCTTCCTCTCCTTTGCTGACCTTCTGCCTTCCCAAGCATCATGTCCATTTCTGATCATAGTCTCTGGCAGCAACATGACAGAAGTCTATGAGGCAAAGCTTTATCATTGCTGCTTTCGAGAAGCACTCTGGCTGCCCTTCCTACAAGACATATTTGTTTGTTCTTTTGGTAGTCCAAGAGATATTCAGAACACTTTTCCAACACTACAGCTCAAAAGTATCAATTCTTCTGTCATCCTCATTCATTGTCCTGCTTTCAGATGCGTAGAAAGTGGAAAGTCCATGCCCTGAATAAAAAATACCTTAGATTCAGAGATGAGACAGACATAAACAAAAGCATAGATGGGCCAAAGAGAAATCCTTGTGAAACTAAAGAAATTGGGGTATTATGTATATTGACACATTTTTATATGAAGCTGAAGCTGACAGTTAAAAAATAGCTATATTATAAATGTAAAATATGGTGCTTACATGAAACCTGACATGGACCAGGAAGCAGTCCTCAGAACAAAGCAAGAAAATACTGCAGGTTCTAAATCAGGAAAGGAGTACATCAGAGATGCGTCCACCTCCATACCTTTTCAATCTGTATGCAGAATAAATCGATCAATAAGCAGGGCTTTGTGAGGAGGAATGTGGCATCAGGATTGGAGGAAGATTCATCAACAACAATATGCAGATGACATAACCTTCCTTGTTGAAACTGAGAAGGACCTGAAGCGCTTGCTGCAGAAGGTTAAGGACTGTAGTCTTCTATATTGAAACTCAGCATCAAGAAAACAAAGATTCTCACCACTGGGCCTCCTGGCACACTGTGGAGAACAGATTGAGGTTGTTAACAGCTACAGCTTGCTCAGCTACACAAACAATACTCTCGGCACCAGCAGTCAGGAAATCAAAAGACAAACTGCATTGGGAAAATCTGTTGTCAAAGACCTCTCCAGAGTGCTGAAAAACAATAATGTCAGTCTACAGACTAAGGTGTGCCTGTTCTGGGCCATGGTCTTAGCATTTACTTGCTATACATGAGAGAGATGGACAATGATTAAGGATGACAGAAGAAGAGTCTATAACTTTGAATTGTAGTGCTGGAGAAGAGTCTTAAACATACCATGGATCGTCAAGAAAACAAATAGGTCTTTTTTGAAAGATTTTGAAGTTCTGTCTCACATACTTTGGGCACGTGGCAGGGAGAGACCAGTTCTTGGAGAAGGGCATCATGCTCAGAAGGATGAAGGAACAGTACAGGAAAGGAAGACCCTGGATGAGATGGATTGATACAGTAACTGGGACAATGAGGGTTAGTGTGTTGGAATCAGTAAGACTAGCTCAGTACAGTGCAGGCTTCAGTGCATAGGGTCACTATGGGTCACAGGTGATTTGGAGGCACAAAACAACATAACAAATATGTTGTTGTTGTTGTTGTTGTTATGTGCCGTCGAGTCGCCTGCGACTCATAGCGACCCTATGTACAACAGCCCTAAACTCCACTCTGTCCTGTGCCAATCGCACTGTCTCTGACACTCCCATCCCAATTATCCCAGTCACTGAATCAATCCACCTCATAGAGGGCCTTCCTCTCCTGCGCCATCCCTCCACCCTTCCAAGCATGATGTCCCTCTCCAAGGACTGGTCTCTCCTCACTACATGTCCAAAGTAAGTTAGATGGAGCCTCAGAATCCTTGTCTCCAAGGAGCCACCCGGTTTAACCCTCTCCAGGACAAATCTATTTGTTTTCCTAGCAGTCCATGGTATTCTCAGTACTCTTCTCCAGCACCACAGCTCAAAGGCATCAGTTCTGCTTCTATCCTCCTTGGTCATTGTCCAACTCTCTGATGCATAACAGGTGATTGTGAAGACCATAGCCTGTATCAGACGCACCTTAGTCTCCAGAGAGACACCACTGCTCTTCAGCACTTTGGAGAGGTCCCTAACAGCAGACTTTCCCATGGCAATGTGCCTTTTAATTTCCTGGCTGCTGGTGCCAAGACTGTTGACTATGGAGCCAAGCAAACTAAAGCTGTGTACAATCTCAATCTCTTCACCATCCATCCTGATGCTGGCGATTAGTCCAGTGGTGAGAATCTTTGTCTTCTTGACATTGAGCCTCAATCCATATTGTAGGCTGCAGTCCTTGACACTCTGCAGCAGGCGCTTCAGGTCCTCCTCAGTTTCAGCAAGCAGGGTTGTGTCATCCGCATAACGCAGATTATTGATAAATCGTCCACCAATCCTGACCCCACATTTCTCCTCATAGAGCCCAGCCTCCCGGATAATCTGTTCTGCATATAGGTTGAAAAGGTATGGAGATAGGATGCATCCCTGGAGTACACCCTTCCCAATTTTGAACCATGCAGTGTTCCCTTGCTCTGTTCTGACGACTGCCTCCTGGTCCAAGTATAAGTTTCGCATTAGAACGATCAAGTGTTCTGGGATTCCCATTCTTCTCAGAGTCAGCCACAGTTTGTTATGATCTACACAGTCAAATGCCTTGGCATAGTCAATGAAACACAGATATACATTCCTCTGGTATTCCCTGCTTTCAGCCAAGATCCATCTAACATCAGCTACAATATCTCTAGTACCACGACCCCTTCTGAAACCAGCCTGGACTTCTGGTAGTTCTCTGTTGATGTGCTGTTCCAGTCGTTTTTGGATAATTTTCAGTAAAATCTTGCCTGTATAACAAATATATTTTAAAAAAACAAACCCACCCCACGACAGACAAAACTAGAGGGAACAGGCAAGTTAATCCAAAATTAAGGTTGCATAGTGGAGTGCATTGGGTGTGGGGTGGGGAGAATTGTATACCAATAAAGAAGTTTATCATTTGCTTTTTAAAGATAGGAATGAACTTGGGGGGAATAGAGAAAAAAGTGCAACAATGAATGAATGGAAATCCAAAATCTCTGTAAATGCTCATTAAAATTAATAAAATAAAATTTAAAAAAAATCTCTTCTCTCTGAGTCAGAATTGGCTTAATGATAGTGACAGTTTTGTTTGATCTTTAAATGAAAATGAGATAATAGATAACTTTAAGTAATAGCTTTGTTCTGAAGCTTTCAATGTAACTGTCTAACTATTCCCTATTTCAGAAAACTGGAAATGCTTGTATAGTTATCTACCATACAACAATAATATTGACTATTGTCATGTAAGGACATATTGTAAAACTTAAATAATTTAAAAAGTATCTATTTGTTAAAGAAATAAATTTAACATCTTTAAGATCTAAGAAATTCTGGTAGATCCAAGAAATTCTTGTTTATGATGAGAATGCCATAACGACTTACTCTTATATACTTTATAGCCTTAGTTAGCAATTAAGAAAAATATATGTCATATAAAAACAAAACAAAACAAAATAGAATGGTTCAGCTTTCCTTGGTTCTTTTTCAGAGTTGGAACTTACTGGTTCTGAAGTGTGTCACATCACAAACCAATTAAGCGAAATGCGTTTTATAAAAGCAGATTCACATTACAGGCGTGGACTTCCTTTCTTTGGGCAGGTGAAATATCTTTTTAACATAGTCATAATTTTTTTAGAGCCAATTTGTTTAGGCAACTAAAAGCAATTCGGAGATGTTCAGAACCAGAGTACAATGAAAATGAAATTAAACCAATTACTTTATAATATATGACCCCCTCTTCTTTACAACTAAAGCAAAAAGTCTCTCTGCTTTAAGGGAAAAGTCAGAAAAATAGGTCATTATATTTTTTCTCTGTAATAACATAAACAACTACAAGAAATCTAATTGTAATAAGAGGAATTGGATGCTGGCTTGCACGTATTCATTCTTAAGGACAGTAGGCTGTTGTACTCCAAGAACATGCATCCACCTGTGTTCTTGTGATACTCTGGAGTTTTCACATACAGGTAATACCAAGTTAGTTCCAGTGCTGGAGCTAATGCATAGTCCCCTTTATTTACTGGGCCATAGTCATAATTTAAGAGTTCAGGCTTTGAGATAAATTGATTTTTAAAAAGATCTTAGCATCAAAATTATTTCACCAAAATGAATATTTATTTATAATAAAAAAGACATCATAAAACACTATAAACCAGAAAAGAAAGTATTACAAAATCCTTAGAAAGATTCTATTTTTATTAATTGACTTAACATGTTTTAATACATTTTATGCTTAGTTTGGCTGAATACTGCTTAATAAATTTTTTTATTCAATTATTTTGCAATATAATTTTTCATAGAGATAATAAAGTTGTATTTTTATTGATGAGAAAAATTCCCTTCAAATTAAAAATTTGATTAATATTGATAATACTAATATTGATAAGTTTTTAAAAAAACTGTCTTAGAATTTAGGAAAATGTTTATTTTATACCATAAGTAATATATGATTTCTAGCCACTTTTGATTTTTTTAATAGTTAATCTGTGAATTCACAGTGTATAGGCAACTGCCTCATTTCAATGTCATGCTATAAATTTTACATTTTCTTTATTGACTCTACTATTTTGTATAATATTAACAAGAAATGAATACATGTATAAGTGTGATTGGACAAGACCATTTTAGGCTGAAAGAAGAGTATAAGAAAATAGATTACTTGAAAGAGTATGAATTAACTAGAAATTTATAGTAGAGGTGAGAATATCCAAGGTCATATTATAGGATGATTTTTATTTTCAAGAACAAAGAATTTGTTGTATTATTGCTGTAAATCTCATAAAAGGTGTATAGCAGTTTAGAATATGTTTAGTTTTGAACCTTCTTATAGTGTATTGGGAGTTCTGGTGGCATAACCCTTATAGAGCTGTGCTGTTAACCACAAAGGTGTTGCCTCTCAGGCAGTTCAAATCCACTGGTAGTTCCTTGAGAGAAAGATGAGAAATCTCCTTCTGTGCAATTTGGTGGTGTTATATGCTTTCAACTCAGGACCAACTCGTAGCTGACTCTCCCATGAGATTTTAGAGGCAACAAATCACACAGAAGTAGATGGTCCATCTTTCTATTGTGAAGTAGATAGTAGGTGTGAACTGCGCACCTTTGGTTTCACAGCACACCTTACAAGTAGCCCACTAGCACTTCCTCCTGTGTGATTTATAGCTTCCCAAAATCCCTAGAGGGTCAGCTACAAGTAGTTTGGGACGCAAAGAAAATGAGAGAGATTTGAGTCATAGTGGATTGAGAAGTGTCTGAAGTTTTAAGAACATCATAATCAGATACGTTCAAAATATTCATATATTTGGAATAAAAGTAAAACTGCAAGAGAAAAGTTAGTATTGGAAACTAGATAGGTAGGATATTGTGTTTTGCACTGGAATGGCAATAGTGGATCATTTCAAAAGAAGTATATAGAATTAAAATATGTTTATCAACTATTAAAGAAACCCATTTGTCAATGGTAGATAAAGGCTACAAAAGAAAGAAAATTATCAAGGTTTTAAGTATTCCTATATTTTCCTATTTCTAGGTTATTCTAACTAATTAGTGAATAGAAAGACCATTTACTGAGATAAAGAACACTCAAGAAGAAGTTTTGGGGATGTAACACCATGAGCTCACTTTTGCCTATAGGTTATCCATATGGAAATAGCAACAAGAAAATTATTAATTTAGTTCAGAATACATGTTTTGTTACCATATTCTGAGATCTATGGTAAGTGACAAGCAGTCAACAGTGGATCAAGAAGTCAGTATGACAGAATAATGTCAATGCAAAATTTGGACACATTATCAAAAGGGAGCAGTCCTTAAAGATAAAGTCCTTGGAAAGATAAAAAGTGAAAGAGAAGACTTTCTAGGAGATGAATTGACACAGTGATTATAAAAATGGGTTTAACCATAGAGGAAATTGTGAGGCTGACATAGGAACAGAAAAAGTTTCCTCCTGTCATGAGTGAGTTGCTATGCCTCAGAGCCAACTCAATAGCACATGGCAACAATGACAAAATTTGATACTTGGAATCAGCTATCAATTTCATATTTCTAGGTTCTTCTAGTTGATGAGAAGGCTCAACCAATCCCAAAACAAGACTTAGTTGCCCTGGTGTTGGAAGGTGGTCAGGTACACCACTTTACTACTGATGAACATGGCTTGGCAAAGATTTCCATTGATACCACCACCTTAACATCTTCTTCCATTACAGTCAATGTAAGTAAAAGGGAATATCTGGGAATGAAAAAAACACAAGTTAGTGGGGCCACATCATTTAAGGATATATATAATCATTTGAGCTCTAGGGATAAAAGGGCAAGTAATAAAGAATAAAATAGAAATTAACCACTTGGAAAACTAAATATAAGAAACATAATAGCCTATGTCTGAAAACTTCCAATTAAAATAAAATCTGATTATGACATAAACTAGACATTGAGCCTTAGTATCAATCTTGGTATTCCTTTGATAAGATTTTTTATAACTTTAATACAAACTAGATTTTATTTGATTTATGTATTGTTATTTTGATTCTATCATATATTTAAATGTTCTAATGAAATTTACAGTCATAAGGGCATCAAGAAAATATTGATTGATCTTAACGTAAGTGAAAAACATCTACCAATTAGTATAACAAATTTATTTGGTTTTAAAGGGAAGCTGTTTATAGATTATTTTATTTGGGAAAAGAGACTTGTTAAATAATTTTTTTTAAAAGAGCCTTGTTACTTGGTTCTAATATATGAATAAAATACCATGGCCTGCAAAGAGAACAAATAAGTCCATCCTGGAGAGGCTGCTCCTTGCAGGCAAGGATTCTGAAGCTTCGTCTCACATACTTTGGACATGTTACAAGGCTGGATTAGTCCTTGGAGAGAGACATCATGCTTGGCAGGGTGGAGGGACAGCGTAGCAGAAGAAGACTCTCAATGAGATGGATTGACTTAACAACTGGGGTAATGCGGAAAGGTGTGTTGGAGATAATAAGATTGGCATGGGATGGAACAGGGTTTAAGGCTGTTGTACATAGTGTCGTTGTGAATCACAGGCAACTTGACAGCACATAACAACAACAAGTAAAGTTTATATATAAATAACAAATAGCCTATCTAAGAACTTTATTTAATCTACTAGGTCCGTTATAAACAGACACAATACTGTTTGGATTACTGGTGGCTTCAAGAAGAGCATGAGCAAGCTCTTCATTCTGCAAACCATATATACTCCCCAAGCAACAGTTACGTTCACTTTGAATCTCTTTTTGGTGCTTTGACTTGTGGACAAATGCAGGAAATCAAAGTGCACTACATTCTGAATGAAGAGATCCTGAAAGGCCAAAATGAGCTCACTTTCTACTTCTTGGTAAGAATAAAAGCCACTATAGTTCCTTTTAATCATGAAGACTCTACAAATATGCAGATATAT